TTTAAATCTAAGACAGTTCCGGTTGTGTTCAAAAAAAAAAAAAAAAAAAAAAGACAGTTCCGGTTTGGATTTTGCATTGGTTTAGACTTAAAATCGGTTTAGTTCGGTTTCATTAACTAATAATTAATCATATATTTAGGTACCGTCTACACGCGGCTGTCTAAACCGGTTTACGAGGCGGTGAGGAACGAGTTCAGGAAGCGCGTGAAGCCACGTAACGCCGTAGTGACGTCACTCGGAGGTTTCGACACGTGTTACTCAGGGCAAATCACGGTGCCGACAATAACATTCATGTTCAAGGGAGTGAACATGACTATGCCAGCGGATAACCTTATGTTACACAGCACCGCCGGGAGCCTATCGTGTCTCGCCATTGCGTCGTCGCCGGAAAACGTGAACTCTGTCGTTAACGTGATCGCAAGCATGCAGCAACAGAACCATCGTGTCCTCATCGACGTTCCCAATGGACGCTTAGGGTTGGCACGTGAACGATGCTCTTAATAAAGATGAATGAGACAACAGCTAATTAAGAGCGTACTAGTGTGTTTTGAGCAGCGACTTGTTTGTTTGTGTGTGTGTTTTTGTGTTTTTTCATTTTTGTCTTTCTTTGTTCTGTCTTCTTCACCACTTTTCATGTGTTTGTTAGAGGACGGTGTGGTGTGTAGCATTTGTCTACTCTTATCAAAGTCATTTGTATGTGGTTTTAACCTTTGTTAAATTTTATGTAGACTCTGGTCAAACTAATAGAATAAACTACCTTTACGTTTTGCGACTCTAATAATTTTTTTTAAAAAGCATAACATAAGAACATTTAAGCTAAAAATACATGTAAAACAATTGTTCGCATTATTAAGAATGCTAAAGATGCTAATATGATAAAATTATAGAATCACATGTTCCGCACTTAATTATTTAATACATTTCGAATGTTTTCTTTATTATGAAGTTTTATGATTTTTGTTGTCGTTGTGCTCATCAATACATAGGTCCCTCGGACATATAGCTAGTGGTTCTTCTTGCTCGTAGTTTCCGGAAGAAGCCCACTTGAAGCGTCAAAGCTTTAGGGTTGTGTGGACACTGTAATGTGCGTAAGATATTAAAAATATACCACTCTATGGCCACTGTGTTAGATATCAAATGTCATAAATGATTATCCGAAAGAGAACAGAGAAAAGTACGTTTAAAATTGAGGTCCATTTCCTTGGTTATACAGAATTTTAATTTCAGCCAGAATTTTCCAACAACCCACAACAACTTTAAAATCTTGCAGTTCGCTCTCTCAGTCACCAAGAAGCTTAAAACGTGGAAGAAAACTAGAAACAATTCTTTTTGTTACACCACACAAACTTTGTTATAAAACTGAATATGTCGTATAGATTATGTAATTAACACCTAAACAAAGCTATACTATTGGTTCAGTAGGCTGTCGGCACACCATAGTGATGGTGATATACGTTTTCTTTTCCTTTGGATATAGATTTAGATTTTTTACTCCACAACGGGAAAGTGTGATATGAATGAATCCCACATGCTAGAGGCACAAGGCATAAGTGGCTAAGTCACTAGCCCACGAGGTCTTTGGTCGATGTGATGATTACACTATAGCAAAACTGAAATAATTCGTTATAGCCTTATAGAAGACATTATGAAATGAAGAAAAATGAGTGGAAAATGACAACTAAACAAACATACAAAAAGAGATGCGTAAAATCTCTAGAAACCAAAACAAAAGAAGCACAGTTAATGTTAAGAATTGATAAAGATTTGAGAAGGACCAAGAACATGTTCAATGTGGGGTTCTTAGGTTGGGATTCTTATCGAAATATAAGAACCGTCTCTTAATTTTTAATTAGGTTCTTATATTCCGATAAAAATCTCAACCTAAAAACCCTCCATTGCAATTTATTTGTTACCCCCAATACTATTTTTTTTTTTCCAAATGTCTCATCGGCGCATATAAATATCTTATATTTCAATTATATAATATTATTTATTCAGTTATTAAAAATGTATACCCTTAAGTAAAAATGATTAGGAGAAAAAAATTATCCAATTTGAATGGGTTTTTGGAATCTGGGGTGGGCATTTACACGCGTAGGCTGAATGAAAAGCCCACACTACACACCACACAACACAAACACAAACACATCATCATCGTCTTCTCTTTACTCTTTTCCTCCTCACAAATTATCTTCATATCAAAAAAGAAAAAAAAAAAAAGAAGTTCTTTTGTTCAGAGAAAAAAACACTCAAATCTGAGCGAACCATGTCTTGCACTTCCAGTGTCTTCTTATCCCCAAACGGCTGCGTTTTGGCATCCCCTAAGCCTCTTGTTAGATTCCTCAGCGCTAAGCCCAGCGGACGGAGGCTTTTCGTATCTGTCGTTAGAGCTTCTTCTTCAGATGATCCTGATTGTAATGACGAGGAATGTGCTCCCGACAAAGAGGTACTCTTTTCTTACACAACATCGGGATGTTTTTTTAGAAGATGCTGGCAAAGTAGTGTAGCTCTGTTTTTTTTTGTTGTTACAGAGTGAACTTTCAAATCTCACATAGTTATGGATAAAGTCACATTCTTTTAATGTTTTAGTATTAATAAATCTATGAAAAATGGATACTTTTAGTGAAACCATTTGGAATTGGTGTTGAAGTGATTACAAAACATTGAAAATGCTGGCAAATTACAAACCATTTGGAATTTGTTTTTTTTTTTTTTTCAGAAGATGCTGGCAAAGTAGTGTTGCTCTGTTTTTTTTTTTTTGTGACAGAGTATGTATGAGTGAACTTTAATCTTCATGATTATAGTGAAAGTCACATTCTTTTGGTGTTTTGGTATTGAGATTTTATGAAAAAAAATGGTTACTTTTAATGAAGCCTCAGCACCATTTAGCATTGGAGTGATTACAAACTAAGAAAATCATACAATTGAAAAAAAAAATTGATATTTGTTTGATGGGTGAAACACACACAGGTTGGGACAGTGAGTATGGAATGGTTGGCTGGAGAGAAGACTAAAGTGGTGGGAACCTTTCCACCTCGGAAGCGTGGTTGGACTGGTTATGTTGAGAAGGATACTGCTGGTCAGACCAATGTTTACTCTATTGAGGTTTGTAATAATGTACTCAAACCTTCTTTTTTTTTTAATTAGTTTTAGTTATGTGTATGGGATAGAAAGAGAGAGTTGGGAGGGAGATATTAGTTTTCAATTGAGGGACAAAGCTTCAAGCTTTGTTTATATAAGGTTTTGTTGCTTAGGGAACGTTTTGTTATGTTTTTTTTTTTGTGTTAGGCATTAGAATGAGTGATAAGAAATGTAAATAGGTCTGATCAGTTTCTTGCCTTGGGGCATTTTGGCTGAGGGTTTTAGGTGATCTCTTTTTCAACAAATCTCCAAGATGATATTCATAACCTTATGCCTTTTGATCTTAATTAGTCTGGTGCTATATTTGGTCTCATTTGCTATGCTTTGTTTCGGTTTCTTCTTCTGTCTTTGTTCCCATTATTCTGTCACAAACCTCCTCAGAATATGTCATGCAAGTGGCTTCTTCTTACTCTTTGTTGATTCAGTTCTATTTCTTTTTGTTGCTGAAGAATACAGCTTTGATTGCTACTTTTTGCAGCCTGCAGTATATGTTGCAGAGAGCGCCATAAGCTCAGGTACTGCAGGGTCTTCGTCTGATGGAGCTGAGAACACAGCAGCAATCGTAGGAGGCCTTGCCCTTATCGCAATCGCTGCAGCATCCTCTATTCTCCTCCAAGTCGGTAAAGATGCTCCACCTAAACCAAAAGCAGTGGACTACAGAGGACCCTCTCTTAGCTACTACATCAACAAGTTCAAGCCTTCAGAAGTTGTCCAAGCTTCTTCCCCCGCCGTCGTTGAAGCTCCACCGGTGGCTCAGGAAGAAACTTCACTTCCGGAAACTACAGCCAGTGAGGCTCAGCCGGAGGAGACGTCTTCTGTTTCAGCAACAAGTAGCACCTCTTAAGGGGTTATTATTAGCCTAGGGAGAGGTTCAATATATGTTGTGTAAAGATTATGCGTCTTGTTAATATTCGGATATAATTTTATATGTATACTTTCTTCCCTCTATGAGTTGGTGTTATAATCAAAATATCAAATCCTATTCTTATCTTCAGTTGCTTTTGACCATGAAGAACAATATCTTCGTTTGACATAGCATATAATCCCTTGACGAAGACATATGTTTAGACTGTGTTGTGAGTCTATCTTGGGACAAAGAAAGGTTCTTCCTCCATTACGACTTTATGGACATGCACATCTTGAACAAAGTAGACTTTCAATATACTTGAAGAGTCTTATTCTCCTTTTGTGTTCAAAATGGAAGAAAAGTCTTACGTGTGCTACAAGTCACTACTAACTATTCACAATCTTCAACCTAAAAAGATGCACATTGTCCTCTAGAAGCGCTATATAACAACCCCACCGCCCACTGTTAATGGGCCATCCACACCCACTCATTGGATTCGTGGATTCCAACCCATTCCAACGGTGATTTTTCCCTGTGCTTTGACCTTATTTACATGGTATCGCAAATTATTTACCGATAGGTTACTCATCTTTAGAATTCTTCAGTTTAAGCATGCTTAACTCTGAAATTTTCTTTGGATGTGCTTCCGAAAAAATGAGTGCATTTTGATGACATAGATAACCAAATCAATTCTTTTAAACTTTTTTAAATACCACAAACCGCGATGTTACACGCTCTTTCGACTGAATATCTCCGGTGGCCAATCTTCAAAAACGTAGCTAAATATATATCCCACGTGAGTCATTTACGAAGTATATATTCCAATAACAATATTAATTAGTTTGAATATTGACCCATCAATCTTTACTCGAAAAACACGAGGGAAAAAAAATCACGTTACGCATCTATGTAGAGGGAAAATCATGTCACGGGTGTGGCTTAAGAGTCGTAATGAAAGAGATATATGCATCCTTCTCCGTTAAAGTAGGCCGTAAAGTCACACATTTGCTTGTCTATAATTGTCGACTTATTATACAATACACAACAAAACAAAAGCATAAGACATAAAATACTACTGTGTTAAAAAAAAAAAAAAAAAATACGAGTAGGAAGCAGCGTAGGCTCCATTAATTCCTAGTGCATCAACGCATCTACTACAGGTTTTGTGCCTTTAACGGCATGTCGATATATTAATTGTTCTATAGTAGTTGGTTATCTGTTTACTTCCTGTTTTTTTTTTTTTTTGTTATCTAGCTTTACTTAAAAAGTTAAAAAGAATAGTCCCGCATATCTCTATAATATTATTTGAAATTTGAGAAGTCAGTTTCCTATGTGTCGTGCTCACGTTAACTCTCACGATGGTTGATTACATAGATACTCTTAATGAATTGTTAGATTTTAAGTTTATTTTATTTTTTTATTTAGTTTCTTTTTTAAGTTTTCCAAATAACATATATAATAAAAATGAAATATTTCTAAAATTTTAAAACAGATTTAAAAACGAAAATATATGTATATAATATGACTTTATTAAAAAGGAAAGTTCACAAAATAGTAATATAGCCCATTAATATATATTTTTAAATAACATAAAATATATTTTCAAAATAATAAAAATATATATATGTTCATGAACATCCAAAATTTATCAGTTACATTTTATTTTCTAATATTTTTAGAAATCAACATATAATTGGATAAATATTATGAAAATACTTGTATATTTAAGCGATAAATAAAACTAATTTGATTTGAGTTAACTAAAAAATAAGAAATAAATAAATATTATGAAAATACATGTATACTTAAGCGATAAATATAACTAATTTGATTGGACTTAACTAAAATAAAAAATAATTATACTTCAATTTTAACTCAATATACTCACAACATGAATGACTCGACGAATCTAATTTATATCAAAAATTAAACATCTAACTACCATAAGAACATATAATTTTATAGTAATAATAATCTATTTAATTTTATACATATAAATTAGAGGTTGACTCAAAGCATATTAAAAAGAAAAAAAATATTAACCAATTACAATTTATTCTTTTGTAGAATTTATATATATGCATGAGACTTCAAAATATTATCATTATATTCATTTATGTAATTTTGAATCAAACACTTCAGCTTATTATTTATTTTAGTTTAAGCACAATACATACATATATATATAAGTTATATATAATTTAACTATAATATATTTACATATCTAAGAATATATTTACATATCTAAGACAATAACCAACCAAAATGAAAATAAAAAAAAATTAATCAAATTTTTATTATATTTAAAATAAAAATTATTATAGCTGAATTCGAAAAATAAATATTATCCAATATACTAAATTAATAACCAAACCGACTATTGATCCAAAAACAATTAAACCGACAATAATATATCCAAAGTCATATGTATAATTAGAATAATATAATATTTATTAATTTAAACTATTCATATAAATTGTTACAAAACTAAAACTAAATATCAATCAATTATTATAAAATTTTGTTTTTATGAATATTTATACCCGTGCATGAGCACGGGAAAATCACCTAGTCACATATAGTAAAACATGATCTACAAAATAATATGTAGGCTAACAAAATATATTAAATTCCAACTCAGGTACAATACTAATTTGATAAATTTTTGGCTTTCTGTATATTATAGTTTCGATCTTTTTTCTTGTAAAATATTATAGTTTCGATCTAATCATTTTGTTTGAATACTATTTTTTTACCAGTGCCATATTGTAGTTATCTTTAAACAACTTTCTTACGAAAGGGACTTGAAACCCTAATCACATGTTAGTCCACGTGGAAGTGAGCGTGGTACCACGTGGGTATGGAGTGGTTCAGTAATACGGGCCTGTTATTAGAGTGTGTCAAGAGAATGTGATTCGTCATTACGAGTATTCACCTTCAAATATAAAGCATTTAAGTTTCATCAAAAGAAAGAAGAATATTTAAAAGAGATCGTGCTTGACGGATATGCTGGTCTAACAAACAAAGTGTTGAAGAAAAAAAAAAAAAAAACTAGAGTTCATCCGTACGTTCGTGTGTATTCTTTTTTGTTCTTTTATAAATTAATATTTACTTTATATAAATAATGATATATATATTTAATATTCACCGTATTAAATAATGATTTAATATGTTTCTTTTAGAATATAATAGTTTTATAGTTTACTTTGAATAGTTTTTTGGAACCCTTAACTATACCATCCATATTTCTTTTCATATATTCATGGTTTAGATTTCTATTGAACTTATTCATGCATAAAATTATATATTAACAAATTAATTTATATATTACAATTTAAATAAATATAATTTTATATTTATGAAAATAAAATAGGTTAATCCATTAATTTAGTAAATTTGAAAAAACAACCGACAAATATATTATTATAATTTTATATGGTTTTCACGAATTATATTGTTATTTTAACTAATTATATATGTTTATAAATATAAGTTTAAAGATTATTTAAAAAATGAGACATGAAATATACAGATAAATACGTATATTATGATGTAAAAATAAATATATATTCTATTAAAACAGAAATATAAAATATAACTTACCAAATTTTAAATATTCTATTACAATTTTTTTTCACACATCATAATTGCTCCATTAATTATTTCTCCAATAATAATTATTTAAATATTATTAATCTTATTTTCAAATGTTGTATTACAGATTTTTTTTTATATTTAATAATCATATCTTAATGAAAAATCTCTAATACAGTACTTGAAAAGAATATTAATAGATATTTACATAATTATTATGGTAGAGATAACTAATGAAATAGTTATGATGAGGAAAAAAAATATTGTAATAAAACACTTAAAATTTGGTAAGTTATAATCCATCTGTTTTAATTTACTTGTTGTTGTAGAGTAAATTTTTTTTTGTTTTCAAATAAGTTTTGTTTTATAATTTTAATCCAAAATTTATCAACTTTATATGTTATGCTGTTTTTATTGATTAAATTGTGGTTAGATATATAGATGATTGTATTTTTATTTTGAAAATATATAAAATTAAATATTTTTTATATGTATGTAAAAAATTATAAAGACAACTAAAATGAAACGGATAAAGTATTTTGTACTTCTATTTTAGTTGACTATATAAGATTTGACACACAAACTAATGTAAACCCCATCATTTGGTATTTGCCAATCCTATCAGTTTATCACCATAATCATTTTTTTTTTCAAATGAACTTTTTTATACCAATTTGGTCAGGTTTATGGTCTGAATTTTTTTTGATGATTAGGGACAAACTCTTAATCATCACCTAAAGTATATGAAAATTATATTCAAAGTCTATTTCACGTTTTGCCAAATGGAAATTCAGAAACAAATATCAGAAATATATTTTCTGGAAACTTCAATCTAAAAAATATTTTAATAGGAGATTGGTCAGGTTTATGGTTTGAAAATGTGTTATGATTAGAGACAAAAACCATTCAGTTTGAACAAAAAAAAGGTTAAAGACAAACTCTTAATTATCACCTAGAGTATGTAGAAATTATATATATTCAAAGTCTGTTTCTCGTTTTGGCAAATGGAAACTCAGAAACAAATATTAGAAACATATTTTTCCAGAAACTTCAATCCAGAAAAAAATTTAATACCAGTTTAGTCAGATTTATGGTCTGAAAATGTGTTTATGATTAGTGACAAACTCTTAATTATCACCTAAAGTATATGGAAATTCTATTTAAAGTATGTTTCACGTTTTGGCAAATGGAAACTCAGAAACAAACATTAGAAAAATATTTTCTAGATACTTCAATCTGAAAACATTTGTTTCCCATTTAGAACTGTAACGAAAATTTGGTTTAAAATGTATAATAGTAAATAATTCAAACACATGATAAAAATAATAATTTAATTTGCCATCAAGCACATCATCAAATTAATATTTTAGAAAAAAATGTAATACTCTTTATATTTCATATTTAGTGTTATTTTAGTTTTGTTCACACGGATTAAAAATAATTAATTTTACATATTTTTTTATATAAAAACACATTTACCTCTATACATAACCATATTTCAACAAATAAAAAAATAAATTAATGTATAAAATTAATAAAGTGTGAATAC